TTAGGGATTTTTAAAAAAAACATATATATATTTGACTTGTTTTAAATATAACCAATTATATATTCAGCTATTAAAGTCCAAAAAAGTCGAATTCTTTATGAAAATACACATTCAAATATTTACACTTTCAATTATGTTGTTGAACATATTTTTATTTTGATAATATGTGTTTTTTGATTGCATTTAATATATTTTTTTTAGTACAAGCGATTGGGGGAGGGGGGTTTACACAAATATTTATTGGGTGCCTAGGGGTTTCGAACCTCTACCCACATGGGTAGAGGTGGAAGAGCTCAATCCAATGAGGTATACCCCACTGGCATATGTATTTGTTTTATGCTAAAGCACAATATCGAGTATAAATTTTTTTATTAGAAATTAGTCAATGGAATTATGGTTTATATGATTTATTGTATAGTTTTATTTCTAGAAAGACTATAGAAATGGTAAGTACCAAAAAAATTGTCATTAAAATTTTAAGCTAATAACTTTAGCTAGCCCACCCATTAAAAATTCATGATTCTGCCCCTTGTCTTTGAAATTAAATCCAAGCATGAAAATTGAGAAACCCATTACCTATAAGGATCAAGAGCGGCAAAAACCCATTTGATGACCAAATTGGCAAAGCCTCTTTTGAGGCAACATTCATGAAATATTTCAGGATCTGCATAAAATAAAAAGAAAATAGATGAATCATACCCAAAAAAAATATAAGAGATATAAGGGTAAGACCAAAAGGGATAATGAAGAAATCGTTTTCTCAAATTTCAAAAGAGTGCTGCTATTTCCACTTACCTGTCATATTTTTCCACCAACCTTATCTTCAAGGTTTTATAAACAAATTTACCCATTTGCAAAATGACTTTTAAGGACTTAAGGAAAATACCTCAACCCTTAAATAAAAACTCAATTTCATAAGAATTAAAAAGGAAAAAAATTCCTTAGTTAAACAAAGAGACGCCAAATAATGAATGAGAGAGGGAATTTTTGGGAGAATGTTCTATTTCTATATATTGTTCCTTTTTTTAGAACAAGGAGTTCATGAATTCCAAACTGAAATTGAGATGCTTTCAGAGCTTAGACATAGGCATTTAGTCTCTTTGATTGGTTTTTGCGAAGAAGACAATGAGATTGTTCTTGTTTATGATTACATCGCTAATGGGACTCTAAAGGAACACCTGTATAAGAGCAACCAACCTCCCATGGAAACAAAGGTTGGAAATTTGCATTGGAGCTGCTAGAGGTTGACACATTATCTTCATTCTGGTGCCAGGTACACTTTGATCCATACAGATGTGAACCACAAACATTCTATTGGACGAGAATTGGGTAGCAAAAGTGTCCCAATTTAGGTCTATCAAGGCCACGTAGGGACTAGAGGGGTCCCAAGCCCCTTCTCAACTCTTCTCTCTCTTCTTCTTCTTTTTCTTTTGGGGGGGGGGCGTGTAGGGACTGGAGGGGTCCCAGGCCCCTTCTCAACTCATCTCTCTCTCTCTCTCTCCTCTTCTTCCCCGCCATTTCACTTTCCTTCTCTTTCTCTCTCTCTCTCTATGTAAATAATTTAATGTTTAACAGTAAGTAGCCTATGCGATATTAATTTATTGTATTATCTTTATTTAATGAAAAATTTTAATTCTTTTTTTAATCAAATTTTTTTTAAAATTCTTAATAAATTCATTAACCAAGGGTAATTTATCATATTTTGAAAGTTTCATAATTTTCTGTCTATACTTTTGTAGACGTGGGTTAAGCTAGTTGGTCAGGACAATGAGCCTACTCCCCTTACACCAAAATTCAAATCTCCCTCCCCCATAGATTACAGGGTTTTCTACCGAATACCAGCATGAACCATCACGCTTGTCGAAATAAACACACTCAATTATTTTATCAGCCAATTTAGCCCTCATACTAAATTTAATCGTCAATTTAGCCCATGTCATTAGTTCTTAGCCAATTTCATCAAAATCCGTCCAAAAGATCACATGACTAACATATGCCTCAACAATAAATAATATATTTTTTTTAATGTTTTATTGTTTAACCAAAAAAAAAAAATCAATCATCAAATATGAACCTCGTCTTCTCCTAGCCTCGATTCACACCCAAAAAAAAACCCTAAATTCCATCTTCTTCTTCTTTCTCTTCCTAGGATTACAGTTACCCAACAATCCCATCTCACAATCAAATGCGAGTTCAATGGCAATGAAGCCAGACAAACCCGAGCTCAAAAAGCGACTTTGCGGCGTCTGCGGCTCCACAAAGCGGTGGTTCCTCCACTACGTCCGCCACATAGGGTGGGTGGAGGATGAAAGGGTGAGTTGTAGCAGGTGGGGTAGGGCTGCGGTGGGCTATTTGTTTTATAAATGTTTTTAATTTATAATTTTTTTTAAAATTTAATTATTATTATTTTGGCTTTTATTATTTCTCTTTTATTTTTATGTATTGGACTAGATTACCCTCAAAAGTTCAGGCACATGACATTCACGTGATTTTTTTAATAGCGATTTGAATGGAATGTGCTAAAAACTAATAGTGGAAGGTAAATTGACGATACAATTTAATTAGAGAGCTCAATTGGCAGGAAAAATAGCTAGGGAGGTAATTTTGACAAGCTTAATAGTTCAAGAGGTTATTTGGCAGAAAACCCTTAGATTAATTTAGAATAATTTAGACTATCACTTATATTAAAAAAATAAATAAATAAAAGCAATAAGTCAATTTTGACAAGATTTTCTTTCTTTGGGGTTTTTTTTTTTTTATAACAAGGTTTTAATGAGGCCACCCTAGGAGAACCTCGTTTGTTTCCACTTTTTCTGGTTTACTGGTTTCCCTTGATTGGCAATTAAGTTTCTTGTTTTTTATTAAAAAAATAATAAATAAATAAATAAAAAGACTACTATAAAATATAATAACTTATGATATGGAATGGTCAATTTTGTCACTCAAATCAAGTTATAAACATAATGAAAGAGTGGAAACAAACCCTAAAGAGTGCTGTTAAACGAACCCTAAAATTAACTAAGTACACCCGATTATTAAACTATTTATTAAATTACAAATTTACCCTAATATAAAATGGCCAAAAAAGATATGTTGAATTGTGAAACAAATGTAATTTTAATAAGTACACCCTACTCACCATATTCAACCCTAATCAAACGTAAGTGAAAAATATCTACATTTTTCAAAAGGTTAAAAACATATATATATTATATTGTATCATTATTCTTTTCGGAATTTGATGAAGCCAATTGATTTTGAAATATGAATCCAGATTTAAGCAACATACCACTCAATTGCAATAACATAATGAAATGTATATATAGAATTCAGCAAACCTTGGCTGCATTAGGGAACTTGAATACTTTGGAAGAAGCACTCTGGCTGAAACCTCCACTACAACTTCCACCAAGTCCCAGAACATCTTTTCCGGACGAGGAGAACTTTTGAAAAGGAAATGCATGACAAGTTTCTTCAGCTTCCAAAATAGCAGCATGAGTCATGAGTGGATGGCCCTGGACCTCGCGGACTATTTATTCGGGTGGCAACAAGACCTTGGTGTGAATCAGAAATTAGATGAGTTGGTGGCAAGCCTGCATCGCTCCCAGTTGATTGTGCATCAATTCAGTTGAGCTTTCCCTGTAAGGATGCTTAGAGAGGAGGCAACCAATGCTTCAAAGTGTATTAGGATATACTATGGGTTTTTTTTGTAGTTAAATAAGGTATACTAAATTAATTTTACATTTTAATTTAGAGATATTTAGTCATATACCCATTCTTAGCATTAATAATATAGATAAACTCTACACCATTTAATTTCTATAAACAAACCCAAAAAAAACCCAAAAAATGACTGGCCCTATTGAATTTAATTTTGATTATTAAATT